CTGAGCCAAATCTTCAACCTGTTTCTGGACTTTTAATTTTGCAAAATTGAAAAGAAAAATGTTCTGACACATAATCTTTCTTCACCTCCACTCTTCCTCTATTCACAATTCTCCAATCCTTATTTCCATGCCAGAGCACTGTGCTGAATCTCATGGATACTTAAGTGAAATTCTTACAGCTTACAGTTGGCTTCAGCTTATGTCTATGAATGTTTAGGCATACCTGGTTGGTTATATTCACATCCAGATTTTAATGCTGAAAGTAAATTATGACACTATGATTTTCGTTATGAGAACGGGTTAAATCCAAAGCTCTAGCATCAGCTCTATCAGGTAATTAATATGCAATCTTCTTAATTCTCTAATGACTTTGGAATACACTTAAAAATAACAAAATTCCTATGTCTTCTATGACTTTAGCTCAAAACTAAAGAAATCAACTATTTAAATAAAATTCATTCAGGGCTGGGTGTGGCGGCACACGCCTGTAATCCCAGCACTTGGGAGGCTGTAAACAGGAAGATCACCATGAGTCTGATCTGTGTAGTGAGACCCTGTAGACCCTGTACTAAATAAAGATAAAATAAAATAAATAAATTCATGCCTAAAATTCAAGGTTAAGGTTTTAATTTCTTCAAGAATTTACTTATAGGCTGGGTGTGGTAGCACACTTGGGAGGCTGAGGCAGGTGGATTGCTGTAAATTGAGGCCTGCCTGCGCTAAAAAGTGGCTGAAGGCCAGCCTGAACTATATAATGAGACCCTATCTCCAAAAGACTATATATAATATATGAGTGATGGGCTTTATAGAGTAAAAGAAAATATTACCTGAGAAATTTAAGTAACTCATAACTAAAATTATGTCTAATATTGTCCAGCTCAGTGCTAAATCAGCTTCCCCACTTGTAAAATGAAAGGCTCAGATCAGATGAACTTACACGCTAATATCATATTATTTCAACAAAATTTTCTGAGCCAAGGACATTTGTCAGCCCTATAAGAAAAGCACTCTTTGAAAAGGTAGAGAAGAAACATCATTGTTGTGTGCCTACAGAGATTGAAGCAGCACTACTACATGTAGATTTTTCTCTTTTCACAAGTTTTACAAAGTATTTCCCCAGATATTCTTCCAAAAGGCAGTGCACCATAAAGTAGTGACCCAATCTAAGAGGATGAAAAGAATGATGAATGTCCTATCTGGCAATCCCATGGGAAGGAATTTTGGGGTCAGTGGAGAAGGATTTCACTATGAATCCTGTTTCTGAGGAAACACAAGAGGAGTGCACATACACACTAATGGAATGTGTTGTGTGAAGACTGTCATCAGGACACACATTAAGAAAGAATAAGCTAGGTCCAGGGAGATAGCTCAGAAGAATTAGCACCTGCCTGGCAAGTGCAGGGTCCTGAGTTCAATCTCTAGTACCACAAAAAAAAGAAAGAATGAGCTAAAATTACGATCATTGGGGGCCTGGCCCTAGCTCAGTCCTTTAAGTGGCTGCTTCCACAAAGCTGTCAGCCTCAGGTTGCTGGAGTTCGAACCTCACAACTCTCCCGCTGGCCAAAAGTGCCCTGAAGCCATTTGAGGAAAAAAAAAAAAAATCCTTAAAATTACGATCATGATGTAAAAAACATAGAGAAAAGGCATTATATTATACCTTCAGCTTATAGTAGTTTATATTTAGGCTTTCAAAAGCTTAAGTTATATGGCATGCACAATGAGCCTCTGTTTTAATTCCTAAATTAGATGTTTGTGGTTCCAAGAGGATTCCAAATATTTAAAATCAGAGGAAGTAGATTTTAAGCCAGAGGTCACCTTCAGCAAATTTAATATAGTTTAATGTAAGTATCTGGGTGGTCTGGTGCCGTTTCTGCAGTTTTTATTTAGAACACGTTGGTATCTTTTTAGTCAGTAACTTAAGAAAAACAACTTGAAAACTTTTGGCTTCAAACACTACTGGTAAGAAACTTTTTACTCATAATATCCTGAACTTTACATGAGTTACTATTATATGAATCTTAGTGTTTGGTGCATCTAATAAGTTTGAGGACTAAAGTACATAACTTCAACATTTTATTTATTTATTTATTTATTTTGCAGAACCAGGGATTGAACTCAGGCCCTTGTGCTTGCCAGGGAAGCGCTTATTCCACTGAGCCATCTCCCCGACCCCAACTTCAACATTTTATAGTCCCAACTCTTATCTGTGGTATGGATCCTGGGGACAGTCTCCTTATAAAGCCCTACTGCAAAAAACAAAACAAAAAACCCTCTACTGCACTAAAATGTAGAAGTTGCTGCAAAGCATTTATTTCTAGATGAAAATACAGCTTAACAATTATTCCCTCTCAAGGAATGTAAGCTAAGTGTTAGCCTGATTAGGTAAAAAATATTTCCCAGTAGATGAGGTAAAATTTAAAAATAAAAAAGGCTCCTAAAATGTGGTGGTACATACCTGTCATCCCAGTATTCGCCTGACTAAAATAGGAGGACTGCTGCGAGTTTGAGGCCAGCCAGCGCTACACAGTGAGTTTAAGGACACCCTGAACTACCTATCAAGACCCTGTCTCAAAATCCCAGAGGCAAAAAAAAAATTTCTATGACTCATTGTGGTAAGATATATCTCTAAAGAAAATAATTAAGATACAGAATGATTTAAGTGAAAAAATTTATTAT